TAGATCTGAACATTTTATTAGGAGTACACAGAAGAGAATACATTACACTGATACATATAGAAGTGTGAATACATGTTTACTTTACTGTTTTCCTAGTCTCCCTTCCAATGCAGACTATATAAAAGAACCCTTTTCACACCCTTAAAATTATTACCATTCATATTAAAAACTTACATATCTAATTTTCAAGCTTAAACTCCATATCACATTCATAGTTAAACATCACACAATCAAAAAAATCACTAGAAAAATACTCTTTCCCTGGCCATGCTCACAACTCTTCATATGAGCTTCTTGTATGTGAACCTTTACTTGGCACCAATTGGGTATTTCATGGATAAATATAAAACTTGGTTAATTATTTCATTCAGTAAAATGCCCAAATATTCTTGGATCTACGTCTTCAGAAAATCCAGTACTCATACATTTACACCACCTGTACCACTAAAACCTAGATCAGTTTCATTATGGAATACTTTCTTAATGAAGGAACCAAAGGCCAATAAAAATTCACATGTCAAAATAAAAAGAACAAGGACCATGAAATATATGGCAAATGGTCTTGCATAAGATCAGGCTTTCAATGTGACCAGTAACCCCCTTCCTATAAGCATGTATGGCACAGCAGTCTGGGAGCCAGCTGTTTCGTAATACTGTTGGGGGGATGAATTCCTTTCGTCGTTTACAAGATTTCGTACCGCTCCTTCACTGCTCGGACTAGACAGTGTGACATCCAAACGCCAACCATCTGTGAAAGAAAATCAAGATATATTGTTCCTGAATGTAAACCACATTGCCAAGTGGGGCATGAGGAAAAAAAAAAAAAAAAAAAAAAAAAAAAAAAAAAAAAAAAAAAAAATACTATGAGTTTCAAAAGTACATATGATTGCACTATACCATTACCTATATGTGAACTGTTTTATACATACCTGCAGCAGAGCAAGGGCAACTGCACCTCCAATAATGGCACCAATGTTGCGCATTGCCGAGTCGTTGAGGGCAGTGTAGCAACCATCAGTGAAGATGGCTTCTGTCTTGTTGTGAGAGAAAATACCATGGCCACATCCCGTATCAATAATCTTGCAGCACGAGTCAGGTACTCCAGTGACATTCTTTCCATAGGTGGTGTCTTCCCATTCGGTGTAGTTGTTTGTTCCACAGCAATGGTACTGAAACAGAAGATTACTTGCTTCAAAGATACGCACACTAGAAAGCAGACTAAAGATTGAGAGTATGCCTGGCTTAAGGATAGGTAAACCATAAAACCTAATTCACTAACATTCTCTTTCCTTTAGAATAGTGTGAATATGTAATACCAATAATACATTTTTCAAGACTGCATACTGTAGAAATTGCTAGAGGAGGAGGTGGGGGGGGGGGGGATTTCCCAAATTAAAACTCAATCCTCATTCGCATTTTTTTTTATTCGCACTACTTTGCCTTGCCTCCTTTCTAATATAAACATTCCTGGCACTTCAGAGTAAAGCAATTCACTGAAGATAAAGATGCACACAATACTCTAACTCAATGCCACCGAGGGTGGCATGTATGGCCTGCCATGCCCACTTTAGTTTATTGTCTTAACACATAGATGGCTCCACAAGTACTAAGTCACCAATGAACCAATTACTAG